AAAAACCAAGGTGATAAGAGAAAGCTGCAGAGTTAAGGTTTGGTGATTAGGAGAACACATTTAATACATCAAATTAACAGGCCCTCATCACTCTTTGAAGAAGTATTATGAATTAATAAATGATTATTAGAGACAGTCTGTTATAATTAATTTTATGTGTCAACTTAGTTAGGCTATGGTGCCCAGTTGTTTAATCAAAACACCCATGTAGATTTGCTGTGAAAGTATTTTCTATATGTCATTAACATTTACAAGGATAGACTTTGACTAAAGGTTAATATCTAAATAAGTAGAGTTTGAGTAAAGAAGATGACCCTCCATAACATGAGTAGGCCCTTTATATGCTCAGTTGAAGCCCTTAAGAGAAAAGACCAGTTTCCCAAAGAAGAAGGAATGTGCTTCCACACAGCACCATAGAAATTACTCCTGTTTCCAGTCTGCTACCCTGCAAAATTCAGACTCCAGAATATAACATCAACTCTTACCTGATTTTCACATCAACTCTCATCTGAATTTCCAGCCTGCAACCTGCCTTACAAATAGACTTGCCAAGGCCCACAATCAAGGGAACCAATTCTTCAAAAATCTCTCTCTCTCTCTCTCTCTCTCTTCCCCCCTCTCTCATATACATATGTATGTGCTATGTAATATGCATATATTTTGTATACAGATATATCTTAGCAGGAGAGAGAGATCCTATTGGTTATGCCTCTTTGGAGAATTCTAATTTATAAACTATCATTACCTATATCAGGTCATATACAAAATTGGAAAATAATAAATGTTACACATCTACTATATAGCAGCACTGAAATCCATATTATATATTAAGTAAACGGTTACTTATTATTTCATTAAATCATTTTCAGGAATTATTACTTTACCATGAATTATTACACTCATTCATTACACAGAATTAATGATAAAGCAATTATTTGTTATTTTTACAATGTCTACTATATAAAAAAAAATGCTATATGCCCTTCTGGAATTTAGTGTAAAACAATAAAATAGTGGGGATAGTGAGTTATTTACACTGAAAAAGAGTGTCATTTCTATTAAACATTGCAAGTTTCCTGTCTACAGTGTTTCCCCTTGTCCCTTGACTTCCAGGAAACTCAAAGTATTAGTAAAAATGAGTGCTTAATTACAATAATAATATTATTGTCCTGTGTTTCTCATACACTGACTTCTTTCTTTCCTAGGTGTTCTCAAATCCCCCTTTCATCTTTACTTGGACTTTTCTATAACCATGTGCACTTATGCTTCTATTGTAAGCTGTCTCAAATTATTTTGGAAGTAGAGTTTAGATTATAAACAAATAAATATGAGAATAATCTCAACCAAAAGGAGACAGATGGAAGCAAACAGACCTTTGGGGTGTTCCCAAAACTCTGCTACCCAAAGCTCTGTGAACTGCAGAGCTGGGGCCCGCCCAGCAGCCCCACTGTCATGTGCCTGTGTGATCTTTAGCCCTGCTCTGCAGAGGAAGTGGGAAGATACGAGTGCTAATTAGTACTGTCTGACCCCCTAAATGCAGTAGCTGTGAAGGTCTGAGTGCTCAGCAAAAAGATAAAAAAGCCAGCATGAACTACAGACTCAAGACAGGGCTCCTTTGGAAGGCTGCTGAGCTGAGCTCTCTCTCTTTCTTTGCTCCTGCATCTCCTTGTTTCTTCCACTGCCCTCCCCATCTCACCTGCCAAAGACAATGGTTCATATCACTGAGAGTTTCTTATTTTGCCATCACTTGGACATTGAGACAAAATCTCGAAACTGGCAGAGGCAAGGCTTTTGGCCAATTGCTGTTCTGCACTGAATGAATGAATTCACCAATGGAAGCTATTACTAGAAGTAATCCAAAGTTAACGGGAGTACTTGATCCCACCTCGAACCAAGTCCCCTCTTTAAAGATGTATTATAATATTACTAAATTATTATATTATATATTATTTATATAATATGTTAGTACATATAATACATATCTTAATGTTTCTGGAAATAGTATCCTTTAAATAGATTTCATAAAAATAACATCCACTGGTGAAACTGGCAGTTCAATTTAAAGCCAATTTGTCATGACAGTAGTTTATGGAAAGTCCAGGTTATGATCCTTACGAAAGTCAACACATCACAAAATATCTTTGTCAAAGAGCCACTGTTTATTTTCCCCAAAAGTATTTTCAAATATCTGATATAAAAGTGTTATGTTTGATAATGGAATATTATAAACTACAATTCATCTTATAATGAATATCAGGTTAATCTTCACAGGTCTGCTATCTGGTCATATTAAGTTTAGAGGTTAATATCAAAGTGTAGGGTTGTACATTATTCGTTGGTTTTTGGACAAATATGTATCACATACTTATTATGTATGAGGCACTAATTGCTGAAAATATAGCAACTAATGAACAAGACACAGAGAGTCCCTTCCCACATGGAGTTTCCATGAAATTCTCATTTCTTGATACCATATGCAGAGTAGGAGCTTGGCTATGAGGAGTGTGCATTGTGTACAATTGCTCATGAAAATACTCTAGAAGCTGGCAGAAATGTATGGCAAACTGATCTTTTAATAGTCACATTTGGCCCATTGCACTTCATTTATATCATATTTATAGCATACAGGGTTCAAGGAAAATGAAACATAACTTATCTCATAGAAAATTTAGGAGACTAGAGAAAATCTTTTTTTCAACCATGAGTTCCTAAGCTGTAGGAGGAAAACAAATAGCATAGATGAAGTAAAAATATTGAAATTCTTGCCTATTTTGAGAGGAGAAGAAATCTGAAGTGTTCGATCTGTCCCAATGACAAGGAATATAAAAACGTTTTTCAACTCATATTTAAAAGTAAATCTTTCCAGTTAAGAAAGAAGTTTGGAGAGAGAAGAGCAAGAAAAACACTGAGGAAGAAATGAGGGAAGAAAATGGGAAGCAGAAGGGAAGAAAACGCGGGAAGGCAGTTAAGGGGAAGTGGGGGAAGTAAAAACAGCCAGCCAGGGCTCAGCAGGAAGAAGGCTGGCGGCAAACCCTCAGCCAGGCAGAGGGACAGCCCCCGCTTGTCCCCCACCCGCAGTGCCAGCACAGATCTGTGGGCGCAGCCAGAGAATGAGCTGCCTGCTCTAAAAGAGGAGACCTCAAGTGAGCCACGGGAGTTGGGTTAAGTCACCTTACCTAAATTAGGGAGTCCTTGCATGACAAACATTCTGCCAAATATAACTATGTATTGTGATCCCTGAGAAATTAAAACAGACTTCAATCCATAATTCCACTGATGCCCCTGCCCAAAAGTCACTGGAATCGTCTCTCTGCCCTCAAAGGTGTTTGGCAAATCAAAGGTTGAGATTTTCCTATTTCAAATTCACCTAGACTTTTGAGCTACCTGTGAAAACTGGCCTTGAGAACAAGTCTCTGTCTTATCCCATACATAGGTCTTTTGGTGGTATCTGTGGATTCTGCACCACTTAAAAATAGAATGGCTTTTATCAAAAAGTCCCAAACAACCAACATTGGCATGGATGCAGAGAGATAGGAACACTCACACACTGCTGGTAGGACTGCAAACTTGTACAACCTCTATGGAAAGCAACATGGAGATACCTCAAAGAATGAAAAGTAGAACTACCATTTGATCCAACAATTCCACTCACTATTGGGTATTTGCCCAAAGCAGAAAGGACATTTTATAAAAAAGACTCCTGCACTTGAATGTTTATAGCAGCACAATTTGCAATTGCAAAGATGTGGAAACAACCCAAATGCCCATCAAAACACGAGTGGATTAATAAAATGTGCTATATATATTCCATGGAGTACTACTTAGCCATAAAAAATGGTGAACTAATACCTTGTGTATTAACCTGGATGGAACTGGAGACCATTCTTCTAAGTAAAGTATCACAAGAATGGAGAAACAAGCACAGCGTGCACTTGCCACTAAATTGGAGCTAAGTGATCAACACTTGTTTGTATATATGGAAATAACATTGGAAATCAAGCAGGTGGGAGCGGGGAGGAGGGGATGGATAAATTCCCACCTAATGTGTATAATGCGCACTATCTGGGGGATGGGCACACTTATAACTCTGACTCAAATGGTGCAAAAGCAATTTTGTAACCAAAACATTTGTACCCCTGCAATATTCTGAAATTTTAAAAATCACACACAAAAAAATAGGTTGAGAGCTATTTAGCAAAACAACCATTGCACTGTGCTTGAGCCTTTTTGTGTGTGTAAGAATCCATCCCAGTCTTTCATTAAAAAGTGCAGATTTACTCCCACAATATCCTGAATTAAAATAATAATAATAATGAAAAATAAATTTTAAAAAAGTACAGATTTAATGACTGGTAGCCAATAGTGGGGTATGATCTTCTGGATTGCAAATAATTCTAAGTAGCATTCGTCACTGTCAATATCTCACCAATGATCTTTATAAACCCCAACGCATTTTATAACTATAAAATATACATAATGGTGTGCACCTAAAGAGCACTTTTGAATTGTTGTTTTACAACTGCAACTAGATTCACGATTACAGAAGATGAGATTGCTATCATACCATGGCATCTTCATGGTTCAAAACTTAGGTGGTGGTTCCATGCATGTGATGAAAGAAATTGTATGGAATTTCTGTATGGAAATCTCATGTGCTAGATGCATTTTAACAAAGAATGCTCATTTTAAATTCGAAGAACAGAGATGCATCTGTCAAGTGATGACGGTCCTCAGATGCTAGCACGGGCCTTATGAAGGCCCCAACCGCTTACGGTAGCGTCGGATGAGAGCAGACCGCTGCCTCTTTCCTCTGACCAGCTTGCTGTCCTTGATCACAAATTACCTTCACTGCCCATCATGTTGTTAGCGGTTAAAACTTACCATTTAAATTGTAAGCTGCAAAATCTAAACGGAACTGCATGTGTGATCTTTGTCACCTCATTTTCATGAATGGAAAAGAATATTCTGACACAAAAATTACATACTTAATTCTAGCTCACCTTCTCTGCTGACCTCCATCCCACACTGCCTTGGGTTTATTTCCTCATCCATCAGTGGGTCAAAGTAATTTCTGCTGTATTCATTTCCTGTGGAAAGTACACGAGGTAAGGGTCAGTGATTATTAGAAGCACATGAACCAAAATGTTAATTTTGAAATCGACACCAGCACAGAAGAACCGTTTTAGCTCTTTTATAAGTTTAATTTTTTTACAAGTCTTCCAGGCCTCCCTTTTTTGTAATTATCATCTTGCAAAAGGTCAGAAAAGGTAATTCAAGAAACAAGTTCATGTTATCTTTCTGTTGCTAAAAAGTTAATGAAAAAATTAGCAAACCTAGACTTTAGAATAATAATCAAAAAATTAAGTCAAAGTATTTTGAGGATATACTCCAAAAATGGATGTAGTTGGGTTATAATGATGTGTGGAGTTCACTGTTGACTGTATTTAGTCACTTGTATTTCACTAAGCATATCATATTATTGTGTCCAGAATTCCATTTGCCAACTTAGTGAAGTCTTATTTATGAGAAACTGTTGCAAAATTTCCATGTTGATAGTTGAATGAAAAGGAAGAGAGAGGGAAAGACAGAGAGGAAAGAAGGAAAGGAAAGAGGGAGAAGGGAAGGAAGGGAGAGGCTTATTTATAAGCATGTTTATGTCAACTTACATAACAAAAAGGGAAAGTACAAATGATTTAGCCAGAAATTTATTCAACACACATCAACAATCTCAACAACACACACCAAAATCTCACTTCCCGTTTCCCACGTATTCTGCCCTCATCACCATGACCAAACTATAGCATCGGGTATGACTTTGTAATGGAAAAAGGTCTGCTATCAATTTTCCCAATCTAGTGCCATACTTCCTGCAGACTGAAATGTATATGTCTGTTGCTACTAATTTGCATTCAGCAAAGTATAACCTCCTCTGATGATAATTCAAGTTCCCTCAAACACTACAAAAGAAATAAAGCATTGTAGAGTAAAAACAATGATTTTAAAAGTATGGCTCACAGGGAAGGGTTAATACATACCAGGTACACTGTGATATTCCATAGTGTATTTGTTTCAGGATCAAAAGTAATCCAAATAGCAGCTCCTTCTCCAAAGCTAAATGAAATTTTGATGTGAACCTACGTTTAATTTCTATTTCTGGGCTGACACATTTTTGCTGTCAGTCTCTGTTCTGTCAATGTAGTAAGTACAAGAACTGAAAGTCTGCCTTACCTTGAGGTCTCAATAAAGAAAAAAGAAATGAGTTCCATTTTTGTTACTTTATCTGTCAACAACTACTAGGCTGGTATGAATCTTGGTCGTGTGTAATCAAAGTCTTATGTACTGCAACGACAGCCATTCTTTCTCATTCTCTGTAATTGTTTGTTTGTTTCCTCTTCGACGAAGCCCTGTGACACTCTACACTCTCAGATGCTGGCAAAATAATTAACCTATATTAGAGCAGAGAGGGTAGCATATTCTTAGTATATTGCCATACCAGCGTCGGCCAGCTACTGGTGCCCACACTTCGGAGGTGTCCCCCAGTCCAACACAGAACTCAAGTTCTTTGCCCACTATAATAATTGGTTGGTAAATATTACCAAGATAATCAAGACCTTGGTGAGTGAAACAATACAAGACGTTTTTAACCAAAAGTCTGGAGAAGTGTATTTGGTTTTTAGGTTCTTGAGCTATTTTCATCCCTGTCGTCAGTTGAGATGTTGGGGTCCCGGCCGGCTCGCGTGAAAGAAGCTTGCCCAGTGGGAGCCACGCTGCTAAGTCTCCCTTCAGGATTCGATGTCTCCACACCCAACAAGGAGATGGGCGTGAGCAAGGACTGTGCAAATTGCTCCTTCTGCATTCGGCGTGGGGTGAGGAACTCGTGTGCAGTTACAGACAGACGCTGCTCCTGCAGTGATTGCTCCTGTTTCCCTGTCTGGGGTACCGGCCACGGCACTTCACAAGGAAAGAATTCTGGGGTATCTTGAGCAAAAAACCCTTGACACTCTTAGTACTGATTCCCTTTAAATATCCTCAAGTTCTATATTATATTACATATTTATAGAATTTATGTATTTTTATAATGTGTATGCATTTTATATTATATTTTAACTTCTGTTATGTATTGTTTTACAAATACAGTCTATACTTGTCTATTGTGTGTCTGCACCACTAAAATATAAACTCCATGAGGGCAAAGACGTTAGTTACCTTTTTGCTCACTGCATCACCCTCCGAACCTAGAATAGTGCCTGGCACCCAGAGCAGCTCATAACATGATCTCAATTCCATACTAAATAAATCTCTCTTGGAAACCTGTTGTAATCCCCTAATCTTTTCACTGGTTCTTTCTTGATTAAAATGAGTGACAAGTTATCATCTTTCATCACTTTTTCTTCCTCTCTTCCTTTCTGTTCCTACTTCCCTCTCTGATCTCCTTCACCACCCCACGACTTTTTTGGTTAATCAGGCGCTTCTAGGATCCAAGCACCGCGTCTGAATTTAAAAAACAAAACAAGAAAACCCTCTGAGAACAAGGAAGCTACATACGCACAGGCTAGTTCGGTTTAACACGGTGGTAAAGGACAGAGTCTGTTTGGGCCGGTGGGAGAAGCACCCAGCCCTCCTGGGAGCTTCGAAGAAGACTTCCTGGAGGAAACGCCACGTGATGGAAGTTTTTGAAACATGATTAGGAATTAGCCAAGTCAAAAATAAAAGGTGAAGAGACTGTCAACTGAGAGAGAAGCCTGGATAAAGGAGAAAAGACACAAAGGCATAGAGGGATGTTCCATGTTTTTTTTCAGCCTCCTGTAAGTTACAATTTAGTAACATGAATAACACAATCCAATCTTCTTCACTAGTCCACAATCAAGTTAACTAGTGTATTTGCTCAAATTTATTAGCACGTTGTTGTACAGTGTCACTGTATGATGTTGCATATCCATTCCTTCACTCAATCAATACTCACTGAGCACTTATTATGTGACTACAGCAGTAAAACCAAACACTCGAAAATCTTCCCCCATCACAGAGCTTACATTCTGTGAATGGAAAAATAAACACAATAAATGTGTATTTTATAGTTACTAGATGGCAGTAAACAATATGGGGAAAAAATAGTGCCAGGTAAGCATGATCAGATCTCCAGGAAGAGCTGGGGGCTGCATCTTGTGTGCATACTTTTGTTTCAAACGAAGGATGCTCTCAGAAGTAAGATATCATGCTTGCGAGACAATTGAGATATTGAAACTGTAATGTATTTATCATTATTTATAACATTATTTTGCCAATTGCTTGCTATAACATCAATCAGCCTATGAATTGAATAAGAAAATGCTGTCAAATATTAAAATTATTATTGCTTTCTATTGGTATTTCTTGCCCCAGTAAGCCAATAATTTGAACACAGCAGGCAGAGTTCGAAATGGTGAAGCACATGGAAACTGTTATAAATTTGGAAACAATGGACTTCATCTTAGCACTAGCTCCTTTTGCTTGTGTTTCATTGGATGGTGTCAGGATTTAATAAAATGAGATGGTTTTAGGAGAGGGTGTATATTACCAGAAGGTAGATTGCTAATAGAATAAATTCCTAGAAGTGTCCTAATCATTCAGAGTATGCTTTTGGATATATCTCAAATCATCTCACAGGAAAATTAACAGACCCACTGAGAAATTTAAAGTAGGGCATTTAGCAATACAAATACAATAGGCTTTAATATAGCTGATATTTAACTCTTTGTGATTTTCAGAAGAATAATGACAATGCCATATGCATATATACACATATATATAGAAGCGTAGTTCTATATTGACATAATTAGATGTGATACATAAAGTAATAAATCAATAAATTGGTACTGTCAATACTCTTGGTACTCTATTTTTGCGTTCAGCCTCCTGGCAATAGCTGCTTGATGTTTAGAATCAGCAACACTTAATGCATTTCTTGTGCACTTTTTACTGAACTGGAGGAGGAAAACACAGACACTTGCCTTCTGCCCTTCCACACATATCATGTTTTCCTATCATTTAACTCAGAGCAGCATAGAACATAATCAGGGCTTTTACTTAAATTGCACTGTACATGAACTTTGGTCAGGTAACCCTCCAGTGGGCACCCATGCAGTTCCTCAGGGGCCATAGGAGAGAATGAAATTGCCCACCAGGGGAAGGTTAGTACAAATCACCCAAGTGTCTTGACTCAACAAGGCAATCACTTCCTTTCAAATCAGCAACATTAATCAGAGAGGAAGAAAATCCGAATGCAACTATCTATTCCTTAGGAGGTTTTTATTGGCCCCATTTTGTCCCTTTCCTATAAATCCATCTTCTTCAGCTCAGCTTTTTATTACCAATCCCCACGTTTCCTATAATATGTTATAAACTAAGTAAACATATGAAAACTAAATAACTAAACAGTTTATATTCTATGATTATAGTCATGCACTAAATTTTTACAAAATAGGATATTCTTCTGAACATTATTCCTTTTAAAGGCATAAAGCCTAGAAAACTAAAATGAAATTTTATTCCTATGAACTTTATAAATAAATGTGTGAAAACATCACGTTTTCACTACTTTGAAAATCCAATACAAATATCTCAAGTTTAAATATCCATGGGACGAGACAGTTTACATAAATATATGAAACACAAATGTGCAAATCTGGGGATAGCACTAGAATATAGAGCAGTGAGAACTATGTCAGACCCAAACATGCTATACTAAATCCATTCAAATAGTGTTTTCATGGTGCTGATTTACAAATATTTTTAAACAAAAGGTAGCTAAAAATACAATAATACTTAATATGATAAAAATAGTTATCTTAAATTGAGTCTTCATTATACTAAAAACAAAAACCACAACAAAAACCCAAACAAACAATAAAACCTAATGACAAAACACAACTGTGACTTGGATGTCCACTATCAACATTATTAGCCAACATTCTCTTGGAAATCTTGGCCAAGGAGTTGGGGCAAAAATAAGGGAAACGTGCACTAAAATTATTGAAAATATTATATGTTATGTAATTATCTGAAGACAATATGATTCCATGCCATGAAAACATAAGAAATTTGACTT